ACCCTTAAATTTGTCAGTAAATTAGCCGCGTTATGTCGCGAATATTGAATAATTTGGGAGTGAGTCCGTCTACGACCACCCAGCTACCGCCCTTCCGGTAAATTGGAACTGAGTTATGATTCTTCTTCAAAGATTCAGATTTTTTTTATCGCATTTAGAGTTTTATTTTATGAATTCAGTTTTTCTCCTGAATAAAACATGTTTCTACAGAAATTCATACTCTTCTTCGGAAACTTCTTTTAAGATTCATATGTAGAGTATGAATCTTTAAAGAGGTTTCAGAGGAAGATTTAAATTCTTTTTCTACGAGTCAAATTATTTTTGCAATTTAAATTTGTTTCTAGAATTCATACAATTATTCTAAAATTAAGAGTCTGATATTCTTCAAAGATTCAGATTTTCTATAAAGATTTAGATCTTCTTCAAAGATTCAGATCTTCTTCAAAGAGTAAGGTCTTTATCCAAGATTCAGGTCTTCAAAGGTTCAAATTTTCTACAAAGATTTAGATCTTCTTCAAAGATTCGGATTTTCTTCAAAGAGTCAGGTCTTCTTTAAAGGTTCAGATCTTCTTCAAAGGTTCAGATCTTCTTCAAAGGTTCAGATTTTCTTAATTTTTCTAGGATTTTTTTTTAGGATGAATATCATTCTTATAAATTTTATAGTTTTCAAGAATTTTTTATTCTAGAACAAAGATAGGATTCAGAATTCAATTCTAGGATTTAAATATTTGGACAAACTATATGATATTTTTTCTCTTCAAGATTTTAATTTGGTGCATTATTTTCAGATTTTTATTTTGAAATCCGAAAAAGTATTAATCTTGGGTCTATGCTTTTCTATTTTTCTCCGGTCGTTTATGGTTTAGATAAGACTCTGATATTAAGGGACCGATGTCCGAGCTCGCCATCTAGGGAGGATTTGATGAATCTCCGACAATAGGATCTTGATAATTGAGTTCACTGATAGAACGAGTCCAAATGATCTGTTGACAGGTTGACCCTTGGATTCAACTAATCATCCAGGGACTAGGATACATAAACAAGGAGATACTAATCATCCAGGGACTAGGATACATAAACAATGAGATAATTCAACTAATCATCCAGGGACTAGGATACATAAACAAGGAGATTATTCAACTAATCATCCAGGGACTAGGATACATAAACAAGGAGATAATTCAACTAATCATCCAGGGACTAGGATACATAAACAAGGTGATAATTCAAAACTACTAATTATCTAACATAGAGGTCATTTATCCAGATAACATCATACATGCTTTCAGGGGCGGATACAGGATTTAAGTGAGGGGGGGGGGCAAGATTTTTTAGGAACCCAAAAATTCATAATTAGGAATAAAAAATCGTGCCGCAGGCGAAAACTATTTTTGACTTAAAAGACTCAAAAAGACTGAAAATTAATGACTAAAGACTAAAAAACTAGATTTTTAACTTTTCACACATTATAGTTTATAAAGACAGATATTTTTTTCTGTTTTGCACCAGGGTTTCTTTCTGAATTAAGCATGCTATTGAGAAGCTATTCTGAAAATAGGAACAAAAAATTCCAAATTCAGGGGGGGGGGCGAATGTCCCCCGCCCCCCCCTGTATCCGCCCCTGCATGCTTTTATAAAAACCTATCACAAACTCGAGAAAATTCGATTAACTTTTCAAAATCATGCAACTTTCCAGGTCATAAGTATTTCATTGCCATTTTCTTTCGTATTGCGTTAAAGGAGTGATCGGGTAACCCTTCCTGTGAACCCAAGAACCCCTTTTTCTCGAAAAGATATCATGATATTTCTTCGTTGAAATAGAATTTGTTTATGAAGATTTCAAAAATCCAAAGGTTTTTACAGTCTAATATAGATATTTTCCTCCCCCCGCTCCTTATTTCGGTCTAGTTTCCATGAAAATCTATGAGAATTAAATGTTTAGTCCCGTTAATTATTTTCTAAGTCTTGTATCCTATTATACTCCTCTGGAATGTTGAATTATAAAGTTATGCATGCTATCTATTATCTAACTAAACCCCAGAACCGTTGGTACTGCACCCACTTCACTATATTGTTTGGACCACCCTCTCAGCAGCTTAACCCTATATAGTCTATCCATTCAATCCATTATGTCTGAGTTAGAATACCAGTTGACCGACACAATGGTTATTAGTGGTTCCTGTGTATACAGCTATCTATCCATCTAGATTCTAGTTGATAAACTTGTCTATATAGATCCGTACTGATTCTGTGGTATACAAACCTTTCAATCTTTGTACTGATACAAAGCATTGTATTAAACGCACCTGTGCAGTGTGCAGATATAAGTTTCTTACAAATAAACCTTTGTACTAACACTAGTAAAAAGTATGGTTCTTAACAACCCCATGCATCAATATTAAACCGAAAACTCGATCCGGTTAACTTGAAGTATCGGACGTTTAGGTAGATAGGGCAAGTTTTACAGTATTTCATACATACTGTAGATGGTAACACGTTAATACTAAATAAATCTTCATATTCTAGTATAGTTTATGAGATTATTTTTATTTCGTTATTTCATCTTCCTTTCCCAGTAAAATATGATTTTCAAAAAAGAAAAACAAAGGAATTGAGTTTTTGCCGCAAGCTCTGATTAAATAGTCTATGTTTGAAATATCAAACATTTAAACCATCAGATTTGAAAGATTTTGGGATTGGAAATTTTAGTTTGTGTCAAAAACTCATTTCCTTTTCTAATCTTTCCTGTCCTGCAACTTAATGTTTCATAGACCTTTGATATTTTGAACTGTAAATTCTGCAAGATCTAAGAGCCAAATTTAAACACATTACTAGTTCACACTATCAGGTTGCAAAAATATTGGAATTATGTATTTACATTTCGAGGATGTATTTAAACTTAAAAGTTAATTGTCTAATGATTTCAGTACACCTTTTATAAAGCCTATATATATAAATACACATCTTAAACACTTTTTAACATTTAAAACATTTGAAAAAGCTTTTTAAAAATATGAGCCCCCTCCCCATCTGCCAAAGCTGAAAGAAGGCACGCGTCCTCCCCGCCCCCCCCCCCGCCTACCCTTTCATGGTTTTCGTACCACTAGTTAGAGCACCTGATGAATGAACATACAGGAACACATAGCAGGTGAAGAGCAGGGAGGGGGAGGGATGGATGGGAGAGGGGTCTAAAGGTCGGAGCAGGGAAAGAAGGGAAGGGGGGGGGGGGGGAAGACCGGTTTTCCTGCTTCTGGTTCTCTTTGGGTCAGCCTAGTTATTAGGATGAGTGCGATATGTAATTACAGTTCAGCACGGGGGGTTATTAAATCTACTGTGCCGAGGGAAGAAAACAACTAAAATAGACGAGACGTTAGAATTATATTTGATATATCTAAATATATAAATAAATATGAATATATTCAAGTTTTTATCAGATCTGAGGTTTATTGTAGCGACACGAACTTTGACCTAAAAAGGTTAATTCAAAACTAATGAACTTAAGTCGAGCATTTGTTTTATTTTCTTTATTTCAGTAAAACGTTTGTAAGTCGAAATAGCTTTCCGGCGTTTTCAAATTTTTTTTTTTTTTTTTAACGTTTTATGATGAAAAATTTTACAGATTTTAGTAATTTATTTTTAAGCCAAAATGTTGAATCAGCATTGATTTTTTTGAGCTAGTGCAATCCAAAAAGAAAATTAGCATTAAAAAAAAGAGCCTTCGTATGCTGTACAAACCTTGCCCGGTCGACAAAAAATATGAAGCCTAGAAAGATAGAGAATATAATTTTAAATAACTGAGATATAGACCCTTCCAATGCCAAATTAATTTTAAAGACTCGAAGCTAAATTGCTCCCTCAATACCCACTATCCCTATAGAAAAGTTTTTTGGGATATACATTTGTTTCGGAGGAGAATCGTTTCTAAAATTTAAAATATCGCTAAAAATGATCAAAATTTCATCATTTATTTGACCATGTTCTTAAAGTTTTTAAATCTCAAATCAAAGTTATTTATAACAGTAAAAGATGAGAACAGAGTGCCCGGAACAGAGTGCTTGGAACTCCGTAACAAGTCTTGAGAATTGTTATTTCTTTATTTTACGTTTTTGTTTTGTAAATTGGTATATGAGGAAAACACGGTAGAATAAAATAATTTCGTTCACCTTTGATTGGTAAAATGAGAGTTGAGGCTTGTGTTCAGTTCAGATTTATTTTTAAGAAAGGAATTGAGCCTTTGCCACTGACTCAGATTTCTAATTTCAACTTCTTTACAACACAGTGTAAACTATTGTTATTTATAACAATAGTTATCTTGATCTTAAACAATTGATAATTGAAGGTCTTATGTTGCAAAAGTAGAGGGATTAGAAATCAGAGTTTTGGCAAAGACTCAATTCTTTCGTCGATTAAGATTATCTGGATTAATTGAGATGGATGATTGGTTAAAAGTAACTAATGCATACTTGTATACATATATCTAAGAAAAACAAGCTGGTAAAATTTGAGTGGATCAGTATTTTTTCGGATTTTAGAGTTAACTTGATCTTAAACTGAAAAGTTAAACAAGTATGTTTAATTGGATGCAAAAAAGAATGAGGGCTTACAATACTATCAAACTGGGACATTCAAATCATTGTGGAGCCAGGAAAGGAAAGAACGAAGCAAGAAATAATCCCGAGAAAATGGAAATTAAACTCGAAGATAAAGAGATACATTATATTCATCCGAGAAACTTGATTTCTCCAACAATGCAAAACTCGTCTGTTTAAATTACAAGACATATATTTACGCAACTCCAGAATATGAAATCCTTATTAGTGCTCTTTGTAAAGTCTAGATATTTTAAACTTTTAGATTGAATCAGTGGATTAATGGTTTGAATGGGATGGTTGGAGGGGGGTCAGGTTTAGAGGAGGCGGGGTGGGGGTAGGGGGAGGGGGAGGTATAAAAGCTTGTTGAGCACAGGTTGACCGATCAGTTTCTCTCAACCCTCTGCTAAAGAATGGACCTGACTAGTTATTATAACTCTGTGTTCTACCAGAGCTGCCCCTACCCTGATTATCAGGTTAACCCTACCACACACAACCTATACCCGGAGAATAATTTTTCCCAGGACTCTTCGAGACTATCTCCTTGCTCAGATTATTCAAGTTCTCCGTCTTCTCCTCCTGCGGACAGAGGAAACAGTCCTGTGTTCTCCACATTCTTTGATGAATCTTCCTTTCCACAATATTCTACAAATAACTTCCAACCTAGCGTAAAATCATTCATAACTCCGGAACTAAAACATTCATCCTTAGAAGGAGAAATGTCATTCAGTCCGTCCCAAACAACTGAAAATTCTTCCTATAGTCTAACTCCGAGGAATAATCAATCTGAACTTGAATCTAGATCTAGAAGAACTAGAGAAGGTCGATTACCAAGAATTCCGCCCCTGGCAGTTCTACAGAAGAGAAGACTTGCCGCGAATGCCCGGGAGAGGAAGAGAATGAACAAGATCAACTCTGCCTTCGAAAGATTGAAGAAGGTTCTACCAGGATTAGAGAACAAGGAACTTTCTAAGTTTGAGTCCTTGCAGCTTGCTCAAGATTATATCTTACATCTTGCTACAGTTCTACAATACAAAATAGACTAAACTTATTTAATATTAATTGTATAATATCTAGTCAATTTATATGTTATTTAATCTTGAATTTATATAAAAAAGTAATAAAACTTGAAATCAGCTTAGTTTTGTTAATATGACATTTACATTTCCGTCCAATCCCCATGGATATCCAATTCCCACCCTTCTTTTCTTAATAACAGTTTAATACATCCATCAAAATCAAATCCAATTCTTATATGATTATCCGTATCCTATAATTCCATATTCCCTTTCCCCTACCTCCTGTACCCAACTCTAATACCTGCTTCCCATTTCTACTCTGAGATATTTATATTCTCGCAATATTTTCCTAGTTTCACTCCGATATATTCCTATGTTCATTCTTCCCGTATCAGAAAATTCTCAGAGATATCGCTATTTTAAAAGGATTAGTATTATAACTCAAAAAAGGGAGAAATTGAGGAATTATAGAAGGAATAAGGGAAAAGTTGAAGGTTTGAATTTGAAACAATTTCTCAATTCTTAGCAAAAGAGAAATCAGAACTAAAAAGACATGGAGATTTTGCAACAAACTCTGACCTTTGATATTTCAAACTGTGAATTATTTTTGTTTCAAAAATCTTTGTTGGAACATCGAACTATCGGGATTAGAAAATTTGAGTTTGTGGCAAAAACTCAATATCTTTTAGGCTATTCATGTATGCTATTTGACGTATAATAAAAAAATAAAAAATGGAACAAAATATGCATCTTGTCTAAGGAATAAAGTTAACGTATTGAATTGGTCTGACTACACATTTTTATAATAATTCTAAGAATGATTTAGATTTTATTGAAAGAGAAATTATTGAATAACATTGCAAAGTTTAATCCTTACTGCGGTTTATCCGTTCATTCAAGAACAAGTATGAAATATAGATTAAAATCTTCTCATAATTTCAAATTCTTTTTCATTGGATATATATTTTATCCAGTGGCAGAAATAAGGGGATTATTGGGGTTATTTCCAAGAATCCCCCC